CCAGGCGGGGGGGCGGACCTGAAGATCTACAAGGTCCCTCCCAACCCTACTTCTATGATCTGACAATGTAACATAGTCAAAAGCTTGAATTTGAGTTAGCCAACTACCGGTATTCTGCCACTTAAGTTGGCAACAAGAAAAAGCAGAATAACATCTAAGGAAAGGTTTACAAAACATTCTTAAATGCATTTATACTTTAAAAACCTGGCTTTCAACTTAAAATAAAATCCTCATGGAAATCAAAGTGTTCAGGAAATGTGCTTGTAGTAACTTCAGCTGTGTACTATCATCAGCTCAGATCTGGATAGTGTTTTTAATGTCCCCTTTCAGTTTGTGGCAGCAGTTGACATAGTGCACAAGATTTCCTCAGTTCTAAACATATTTCAAAGCTCTGAGGGGAAAATTGTATCCTGCACCCAACTTACCTTTCAATTTCACAAGAAAAGCCTGCAGTGCAAGGGGAATTTAATTCTAGTTCATCTCCAGGTTACCCATGGGGGTGAGGGAGGAGAGAGAGTGGGAAAGGGGAAGCATGAGTTACAGCAATACTTAACCCAACAGGTGTTCAGGTGGGGAGGGTTTGAGCCTCCCTGTACCAACTCTGGCCAGCAAGCAGGGGTGTTTCAGCAGCCTCCAAGGAGGCTGCCAAACCACCTCTCCCCAGCCATGCCCCCGGCAAAGCCAAGACAGCTGTCCCTGTCAAAAGGCTTGGGACAGGGAGTGGGAGCCCCCACTCCCCACACTTCATAGGGCCCCCCCTCACCCAGCTACAGCATTGCAGGGGAGCCAGGCTAGGTTTGCGAGGTGGGTGGGCAGCTCCCTTCCCCCACCCCAGCCTCTTGACATTGTAAATTCCCTCCTTAACATTTACTAATAAAAAGTTAAATCTTTTCTATACAACATGCACCGTCTAGTTGAACCCATGTTAAGACCACCTCTAGGCAAAAAGTTGTTATTCCACTGCTACCCTGCACCTCCACCCACAGGCAAATCCTGTGCGTTTCATCCACTTATTTTTGGATCAAGAGACAGGAACTGGGTGCTCCGGGTCAGGTTCTGCATCATGTTTGTTTAGCGCTGAAGACATTAGGCTACTGAACCTTGACAAAAGATTACTACTTTGATTACAGGTACAGAAGCAGCAGGCTGGCATTTCTCCTAACACATATACCAGCACCTGGGGAAAACTGGTAGACAACACATTTTCCTTCAACTAAGATTCAAAGAAATTGAACATTCCTAAAGAAGTAGCATTTTAATCCTGCCACCTTCTTGTTAAAATTGAGCCTAAGTGAAAACCCTAAAAGAGTTGAGACACTTAGTCATGTTGTCAAATAGTTAAGAAGTAGAAAGTCATCTAATCCATCTGCAAAGCCCCCCATCAACAGGATTTAAATGACCTCTTTAGTGCTGATTCTGAGTTTCTTCCTCTCCAAGCACACAGACTGCGTAGAATCATTTTACCTAGCTGAAATGGACCCTGGACAGACAAACTAAAGCAAAAGACTACTATAAAAATAACTCCAAGCTAAAGAAATAAAAATGTAACTCTTTAGAAGTAAGAGGTACAACAAAGCTTTAAATATTACCGTAAGGACCCTCTCTCAGATAGACATGCAAAGCTCCATTTTAGGAATTTGTTTATTTGTTTCCTCCAGATCAGTGAGTGAGAGACAAGCTTTAGCCTATAAGAACATAAACGTTTATACTCCTCCATAATTGTTGACAAGAGCTTGACATTTCAAATGTGTGTTATGGGACAGTAAACTGACACAAACATTTGACTCTAGAGAGATCCATGGTACAAGTTAAATGAATGTGTAACAAGGTCCTGAATCTTAGGTGGCTCCTGGAGTTCTTAACCTCTGAACTGTCTTACACATTAACACCTGAAATTAGTTTTAAGCATACTTTAGGCTGCTTAAAAAGTTATACCACTACAGGGCAGGTTTCCTTCTGTTTTATGTTCCCCAGCTTGTGTTCCATTAGTGTGTGGCCACTCCCCAAATATAAGCTGCCCAAGTCACAGGCCTGTAGCACCCCTGGATCAGCCTCTTTTCCCAATCCATGGGAACAAACTTTCCACCCCCTGAACTCTACTGGTGGTTCTGGCACAAAACCAACTCTCCCTCCCACCCCTAGAGGTGTGGCCCTCCCACCCCCAGGGATGCAACCCCATGCAAACAGCCTGCATGCCAGAGTACAAGTCAGCTAGCCTAGTCACAGGGCATGGGTGGGTCTGGGAGTGGAGTCCAGGAGGAGTGGAGGGGGAAAAAGGTAGGGGGCCAGATTTGGTCTTCATGAACTGAGAGCTCCTTCCCAGGGCAGGAGCAGTAGCTCCCTCAAAAAGTACCTTCCCTCACTGCTCCAACCTCCAACTACCATGGGAAGCACATACAGCAAGCCCCACACCTCAATCCCAATTTATTCATTATTTAGTCATTTATTTAACATAGGACCTCCTTGAATTTATTTTCTCTATTTCTTTTTAAATAGATTTTTTGTTGTTGTTTAGCTACTACTAATTTTATCCTTCAGTGGCTGACTTGCTTCATTTTGCCACCCATCTCCTGTCCTCATTTCCTTTCCACCTCCCATTTTATTATCCACTGCATCCCCTTAATTCTCTACCTATCTACTTTATGTTCATGCTACCACAACCCATCTCTCCAACACCCCCACCTAGAGGAGAGATAGAAGCTTATCCTGGCTCACCAGCCCTGTAGTGGCAATTCACAGCTGTAACTCCTAGTCCAGACCCTGTTAACCAGCCTTTTAAGTGCTAGCTTCAAACTCAAGCTAGTACAAACACTGATCAACATTTGAGCAGCTCAAAGTACAACATGTAACAGGGTCCTCACTCAGCCTCCAATTCATTACCAACCTAAATTCTGGGGTTAGCTTTTAAAATATTAGGTGCCAAGGCAGAAATATTTGAGTTTGCCTACACTAGAATTCTTAATTAATACCTAGTTTGATTTACACCAATTCAGGCCATTCTAGTAATCTATAGCCCTCTTTACTCAGAGCTAATATTAACACGCGTACATTTAAACACCTTTTAATGGCTTGCCATAACTTCCATGAAAGCCTCTAAAGAGGCTGGGACTAAGCCCTTACCCATATCACAAAACTTCTCACTACAATTCAAGTTGGACAGATACAAAGTGCAGCTCACTTCACTCAAATTTCCCAAGGGCAAAAAATTTAGATTAGTAGTTCAGATTATCTATATGCAACCCATTACTGCAGTTTATTCTTCCCAGCTACGAGACTCCCAGTAAGAGACTGTATCCAACAGATTTTCCAAAGTTAGACAACCACCTGTACCATCTAACAAAGGTTTAAAATAGGTTCAACATCTAGTTATAATTCTTTGTTTAAAGTTACTAATTATGAATAAAACAACGCTATTCTTTATTGCTATTCTATAAAATAGGGTATTTTTTTCAATGAGTCAGAGAATGTGTACCAAGGGCATTTTTACACATGCTCCATAATGGGGGGGGGGGGGGGGGG